AGTTTTTTTATACATATTAAATTGGCAATTATGCTAGAATGCCTTTACAAACTGCTACCTTTCTAAATTTGAGCCCAAAATATTTGATTGGTTATTTTTGAAATGTTATAGAGAGTGATTGTTATTAATGGTTTAAGTGAAATTCATATTAATGATTTCAGTGATATGTTGAGTACATGATATTGCTGCTTTCGAATGTTTAAAGAGATTTAGAAATAATTTAAGTATGCAAGTGGACTCATCATGTTCGCCGGTGAGGTATAAGTGGACCTATCTGGGATGCCGGTAGGGATTAAGTGGACTCATCCGGTACGCCGGTGAGGTATAAGTGGACCTGCAGGGATTAAGTAGACCTATCTGGGACGCCGATAGGGATTAAGTGGACCCATCAAGACGCTGATGGGGAATATAGGTGACCTACTTGGGATGCTAGTAGGGTATTTTGTGAAATCCTTTGAATTATATACTGCCGTTAAAAGTGTTATAAGCATTTCAATTACTCGGATTATACTTAATTATGCATTTATTGAAAGTGAAACTGTTGATGCATTTCTGTTAATAGATCTCATTTTGGAAAATATTGATATATTTCAATCATGATTATTTTTAGGATTATGATGATCACTTACTGAGTAGTCAAACTCATCAAACTATGGTAAACATTTTTCATGATAACTGCGGATTCATTTTGAGTGCTAGTCAAGATCAACCTTAGAAGATACTGTTGTTGTGCTAGCTTTCTTTATTTACTTTGTAATACCTCGCCACTGTAAATTTGTCTTATCAATAGATGTATATATGTTTTGTCTGTCACATCTCAGGAATAACAGTATTGTAAATTCTTGGGGTGTGACATATATACTCACACTTTTGAGTATGACTTAAGAAAATATCATGTCATGATGTTTTTCTCACGTTTTCGTGGATATGTCTCTCATAACAAATGTCCATCATGAGAATTTTCATGCTAATGACACTTAGACCATTTGTTAATGGATCATCGATTATTTCTGATGAGGGCAAGTAACTAAAGCTTTAATATCAATTTTAAAGGATAAAACCAAGGTTTGGAAAAAACTAAAAAAAAAAAAATAATGTAGAAATTAAAAGAAGCGAGACACAAAGATTTATTTGGTTCTAGCCAATTGCCTATATCCACAAGGAAACAAAATTCTCTCTCATTAATAAGAAAAATACCATGCAAGGCCTTTCTCTATATTTTTTTATCTTTTCTTTCTCTCTCTACCAAATAATCTTTTTATTAAAAAAAAAACATC